GGCTGCTCAGCTCGGGCTGGACTCGAACTGCTGTTGCTCAGAGCTCAAACTCTTGAGCGAGCTCTTAACCAACTGAGCCACTTGGCCGGCCCTAACTGGAGAATTTTTAAATGACACTTCCTAAAAACCCTAGTTATGGTTTCATTTATTTTAAATAGGTCATACTAAATGTATAGTATTCAAGACTAAGTGGGATAAACATAATCTTTGTTCAACTAGACACACTGTGTTATTAACTACTAAGATAAACGTAATAAGCAGCTCCAGTGTAGCTATGCGGGGCCCTGCCTAAGGGGAATGAAAGAACAGCTGGCAGAAAATCCACCTGAGTAAAAGGCAGCTAGAGATGATCGATACAGATACAAGAGGATCTTCCCTCTCTAGCCGTTACTTAATTCTAACAATCTTAACTTGCCTAGTAGCATAAGTATTGCATTCATTTGTAATGGTAAAAAAGACAAAAAAATTAAAATAGTTTATTACTTGAAACCAATGGAGTCCAACTTTTATTCCGTGCCAGTGTTGACTTAGGTGAGCTCTTTAAAGCAGCTTTAAGCCTATTATCTCATTTCCCTAGTAGCTCACTGAACTTGATTTTCAGTGTGTAAATAGATGAATGTGGCCTTCTCTGTCTTATAATTCAGAAATTATAAGTGTATAATTGAGAAATCGTCCTTGGATTTACAAAATATGTATGTTGAGCAACAACCAAACTCAATGAAACTAAAATGTACTATAAACAAGAAGGAGTGGGGAAAACACTATATTTGATCAATTCATGTCTTACCTGATTTCGTGGCTGGTCCTTTAATCGAATATTCCTGCCAATACGCCATCTAAGAGAAACGTAAAATTTCCAAGTTTATTTAATTTCTTTATTATCATTTCATTTGGTCCCAGTGACCTAGACTAGGGGTGGTAAATTCTTGGCATGTGCGATAGGGAGGATACCAGTTCATTCAAGCAAAATGGTGTGACTCACTCTAATTAAATCACTACCATGCACTACTGTTTCTCCCAACTCCAGAACTGGTCAGGAGGATTATCGTTGCCAGTGTGGGATCTCTACCACTGTACCCTGCTGTTCTCCCTTCACCTGCCCAGAGCTCCCACTCACACACGCATCAGGGGAAACTATCACATTAGAGACTTGGTGAAAGTACCAAAGTTGGAAGCGGAGGCAGTGGACTCATTATCATATTTGAAAAGGAGTCTGAATTTTTCTGTGCTAAGTGGGCTCTCAGTTTGCTAGGAGACTTTACTGAAAGGTATTTATTGACTTGGAAAGACATCTCTGAGACTGTCTAAGTTCAGTGTTATCTGAGAGAATGGAATCAGATTTTAAGGAACCGTGATAAAATTAGAAAATGGATTTGTGAAAAAACAATAAAATCTCAACAGGCACAATTGCAAAGTGTAGACTTTGTTTTTTTCCTTCTCTAATAGAGGTGGCAGATATTAGCAGGTAGGCTGGGTACAATTTTAGAAAAAAAAAAGAACTAAGTTCCATTAACACCTTCATTTGAAGGATACCTAGAGAGGTTCTTAGTGACCAAAGAATAAAATGGAACTTTTGAGGAAGGGAAAAAGGAGATGGGGTTATATAATCTACAAAAGCAAACAATCTGGGTCACTTAACATTCTTCAGGAATATGCCAGATTATAACAAGGACAGTGCTGTCTGTGTGTTTTGTTCCTTTTCAAAATTAACAGAAAGGATTTAATTATATTTTAAGGGAGAACTTCTAAAAGTTTCTCCCTTAAATTACACAGATATACCAAACATTATTGTTTATAGTCCTGAATGTGGAGACTATATATTTTGTATATTTTGTATCTTCGGTCTCTAGCAGAGCACTTGGCATATAGCAGATTGAAATATTTTTTCAATATTTGAAATATACAGTAATGGAAAAAGGTTAAGTCATTGATAGGAAAAATTGCTCTGAGTCTTGAATGATTGAAGTCAGAGAACTCAAATTACATCCTGAAGGTTAATTCACTCAGCTTCATGGTTGTTTTTGAATATAATAAACATTAAACACACAAAATCACAGCATAATTGATAATTTGCTAATTACTATAAGCCCAGTTAATTAAGTATAAAGCCAAGACTAAATTTAAGGTTAATTAGCATTTTAAGGAAGTAGAAAGAGATATACAATCTTAGTTTTATTTAAAGCATCAAATCTCATGACTGAAAGTGCCATTTTCTTAAGTACAATTTAATAAATTTTCAGACAATTAACATCATCAACCAAATTACCGTTTTATCTTCATCCACAAAAATCTCTCTGGCTTCTTCATAATTACAAAGTTCTTCATTGCACTCTCTTTCTAGGTCACCAGGAGTGAAGAGCTCCAAATCAAATCTATTATATAGGAGGTGTCTATGTATGAAAGAGTTTGCTTCTTCTTTTGGTGTAAAGACTAATAAAAGAAATGGAAAGATTTCAAACACTGATTAAAAATAAGGAAGAAAATTCTTGTGAAAAAAAGTGAATAGGGGCTGGCCGAGTGGCGCGATGGTTAAGAACTGGCTTGGGACGCCAGAGGGCCCCAGTTCGGATCCCAAATATGAGGGCCAGTGACACTGCCCTCTACAGCTAAGATGCTGAACAACAGCTCAACCTGGAGCTGGGCTGCTGTGAGTCGCCGGCTACAGCGTTGTAGGCTGCAGCCCCTGTGGCAGTAGGTTGCCATGGGCTACCGTGTGTAGCCAGCAGCCAGCGTGAGCGGCCAGCAGCTGCAGTGAGCGGCCATCCAGAAGCCGGCGACTGATCTGCCTCACCCGGGAAGAACGCAATGATGGTGCCAACTTGGGCCAGTGAAGCAACGTCCTCCACAACTAGACTGAAGACCAAAACGATAGCAACTTGTCTGTTCCCCTTCCCGAATTCCCCAGCGCTGTTCCCATCCCCCTAATTCCCCAATAAAAATCTTAAAAAAAAAAAAAAGTGAATAGTTCTCTTGATGTGGTTTTAAAATCTGACAAAAGAGATATCATCAGGAAAAATAATTTCTGCTAAATGTGAAATATAAATGTTAGCATAATTCCAAAAAATACTTGAGTTGATTATGTCCAAAATTATTAGCATAAATGAAAATTATTTAAATATTATTTTTCCCTTCAGAAAATTATTTTTCCAATAAATGACAAGCCAGACTATCTATTTCTAAAGGGTTGGGTCCCTATTATCTTGACTGAAATAAATTAGTCTGGTGTAATGGACAGAGTATTGGACTAAGAGTTAGAAGACAGAGATTCTTGGTTTTGATTTGGCTTAGTAATCAGCTGTGTATCCTGGGATAAGTCACTTATATCTCAGGGTTAATATTTCTTCATTTGTAAAATTGGGAAATGAACTAAATAATCGCTAAGATCTCTTTATGTTCTAAAATTATAAATTAATACATTTATATTAATATTGTATATCAAGTTTATACTAAAACTTATAAAAGTTGAAACTTCTAAGTTAGTAAAATTATGTTAATTATAAGATTAATTAAAAGACATTCGGTCCTTCCCAAAGGAGTAGCTCCCTTTACCCAACCCCAAAATATGTGTTTACAATGCTTTACAAAACTCCCTGTATTTGTTGGGAAAGTAAATGGTAAACAAGATAGAGTTAAGCACAGGTTAACACAAAACCAAAATATCCCACCATAGCAATATTTTCAAAACCCGTGAACTTTAAACTCATTCTGGTATCACACAAAGCTTAAGTGATCTTGCTCCAGATCACACTGCCGAGACTGGAATTCAGAAACTTTCTGAGAACTACATCAAATGCTTGAGAGAATTAAAAGTGTTAGTATTTCCCACCACTAAACATTACTAAAGGAAGTATATAGTAAAGTGGCAATTGAAAGACTGCTCAAGACTGGCAAAAGAGAGCATGGCCTGTTTGAAAACTAAAACTGATTTGTGTATGATCTCAGGTTGGCCATTTATTCTTAGCCCCTTGAGGACAGTCACACCTTGTCCAAGTTATTTTTTCTACTAATCAATCATCTTTCCAAACAGGTCTGAAACTTACAGAGCTGTTTTGTCCAATACAGTAGCTGCTAGCCACATGTGGCTACTGAGCACTTGAAATGTGGCTAGTCTGAATTGAGATGTCCTGGAAATGTAAAATAAACTAGGATTTCAAAAACTTCATTTAAAAAATGTGAGCTGTCTCAATGTTTTATATTGCTTATATTTGGAAATGATATTTTAGGTATATTGGGTTAAATTAAATAATTATTAAAACTAATGTCACCTATTTCTTTTTACCTTTTCAAATGTGGCTATTAGAAAATTTTAAATTATATGTGGTTCACATTCTGTTTTTATTAGCCAGCACTATTCTAGCATATTCATTCAAATATTATAAATAACATACCTGGGCTATTTGAACGAAGAGGGAATCTAGAATGGAGTCATTGGTGAGAGGTGTTTTAAGAAATATTCTAAGAGGCAGACCAGGGTGATAAAACATTTCTTTCTTCTCCCTTGTCGTTTTAAAGATTTTATGCTTTCACCAAATGGTGACAGAATGAACATTTTTCCAAGTCTACATCCTTCCATTGGATTCTTGCAATGGCCTTCTAAGGGGTCTCCTTCCTCCCTTATAGTCTGTTTTTAACATTTCTGTTGTAGCTACCCTGGCTTCCAACGTACTTGGTTCTCTCCTGCCTTTCTACTTGCTGTGTCCTATGAATAGATCTTTCTTTCAGTTTGCTCTCTCACCTACTTTAGGATTTTGTTCAATGTTACCTTGAACCCCCATCCACACCCACCCACCTCTGGCACTCCCCATCCCCTATTATGCTTTGTTTTTCTCCATAGCACTCATCATCATCAGGTGTTCTATATGTCTTACTTACTTGTTATTGCTCTGTTCCCCTTACTAGAAGGAAAGTTCCATTAAAGCAGAGATGTTGGTGCCTGACTCATAGAGGTGCTCAAAAAATCACTACATGGATGAATGAACTCAACTTTCCTACAGTGGGAAGGAACTCTTGGACCTAAATTCTATCAGTTGAAGCAATTAATAGGTATAGCCTGGTGTTACTCAGCTTGGCATAGGTTTAAAATACTACTCCAGTGATGAAGTAACTCATAGCCTGCCTAACTTAGCTATACTTACTACATGAAATCTAATTTCAGAAAGGATAATTAGAAATCTACCTTTGTATTGCTACTTCTCAGATTTTCCCAGAGCTTTATATTTTATTGGTTAAAAAAGCAGTGGCAAATTTCTTCATTTTTGGTGTTCTGTTCAAGTAGGTTATCTGAGTTATAAAAATACCCCCAACCTCCAAATGGCACTCAATAAAGCTACTTTCAACTTGAAAGGAATATTAAAAAGAGAGTCATAAACATTTTTATGGTTCGTGAAGTGATGTTTATACTAGTTAAAATCCTCACCCCTATGTTAAACATGCCTTCCACAGGCTGTTGTTGGCCACTTTCCTGAGAGTGAAACTTCCAGTTCAGTCAGTGGTTGACCTTAGACCTTCAATGCCTTACCAGACTTTTCCCTGCCTCCCTTATGATCTTAGGAGAAATACTGTTTTTTGTTGTTTGGATTCCAAGCAACCCTGAAATTGCTTATAATTGAAAGAAGCAAACTTCCCTGCCTCGGGAGCATCTTGAACGCCCATGAGGGTTCCTATTTTCCCTCTGGCCTTGGTGCTTTTGTATCTGCCTACTCAGATTCTCTTCCCATCTCTGTTTCTTCTGTCTTAGACCATCCTTAGAGGTTCTCTGTGCATTTCACCATTTCAAACCCACCAATCCAAATATTCCATTCTCTTCCTCTCTCCTGTCTCCTCATGTTTTTTAAAGAAATTCCTTTCGAGTCATTTCAGCTACACTCTTGGGCTTCATCAGAATTTTGCCGAAGATCCCTTATCTTCCTACTTACTTCTCGTATTTCCATTTATTGTATCTCATTTGCAGATAGAGAGTATTGGCTTCTGTGTGATACAACTCTCCTGAGACAGTTACTGCTACTCACTCTTTCCTCTGCTCTAGAGCTCAGTTCCTACCTCTGTCATAGAGTTCATGGAGATTATCTGTTTACAACCCTGCATCCCCAACCAATGAAGAAGCCCTCCAGGGCAGAGATTACAGCCTTCCATTTCTCCAGGACCTAGCATAGGGCCTGGCACGTAGAATGTGTTATAAAGTGGTTACTGAATGAACAAGCCAGCTTTTTAAATATATAGAAAAAAAAAAGAAAAAAATATATAGGATTCCTTGTTTACATTTCCCACAGATATCATCAGCTTTTTGCACTCAAAGTATGATTTCTAAATAAATTCCTTCCAGAGTTAGTGATGTTCTTGAGAGTGTCTTTTATGTGCATATCGTGTGAAAAAATGAATACATCCACAAGTATTCTGGGGATCAGGATCTGGTCCCACTGAGACTGGCCCATCAACTTTATATGAAAGTGGACCTACATATATGGTGCCACTTGGAAGGTACCAAGAAGAATCTCCTTCCCAAATCTCTCCCTTTCCTACTAGCTAGCCTATCCAATTGCCTAGAATTCTGCCATCGGGGGTGTGTTCCTCTGGGTTAAGATTATTCTCCTATCTTAAAATACACATACACATGCTCCTAGAAGGTTTGACACACTAAGCTGTATTAATCATTAATAAGTCACCTAGAAGTATTAGTGTAACAGATCCTTCCCAAATGAAAATGAGCTGAGAGTAGGATCTGATGAGAAGGAATAAGGGACAGGAATGTGTGGGGAAGTAGATCCAAAGTATTGGCACTGGGCACAATGACAATGCTGGGAAAAGGATGCTGAGAGCCAAAGCCATTTTTTTTTTCTTGTCTGGTTTTTCTAGATTAGGCTTTTAAAATGTGGGCAGGAACCAGTTTCTTTATGACCTTGAACCCACGAGGTGTCGAATTCTAGGTTAGCAAGCCCCATACCTAATCTTCTCACAACTATCTGACAAATATCCAGACATTTAAAAGTAAAAAAGGGTCTCAGAGATCACTCCACTGCTCACCTCCATCATTTTCCAGATGAAGAAATTCAAGCCAAAAAGTGTCAGGTAACTTGCCCACGATCTCATAACAAGTCCAGACTAGATCTTGGACTCTCTGACCATCTTTCCAGGAAAAACAAGTACTTATGCTCATTATAATTACCACATAGCCTCATCTAGAAAAACGGCACTCACTAATTTTCAGGAGTTGAACTAGGTTCTCCATTCAGTTAACCACAAACCAAATCTTAAATATATACATTTAATCAAAATAACCCACAGAAATCCATTTGTGTTAATTGTACTTAACATACCAAACCACAGAATTACCAAATAAACCACAAATTAAACTAAAGAATATTTTAGTGCTTCTGTGATTGATGGGGGCATGTCATTTCAAATACTACACTTTCTCTTTTGAGAACTGTAATATGTGGCTCGCGTTTCCAAACTGAAGCCATGCTTACCGTCTTCCCCGGCATGCCTAGACTCCTCCGGACTTCTTGTGCAATGAGGAAACGCGAAGGTAGCTATGGGCAGTTGGCTGAAGAGAACCAGAAGTGTAAACATAGTCCGGCAACGGTCAAACAAGCTAAAACAAACAAAAAACAGAAAAACACGTTTTAAAAAAATCCCGGGCTCAACACTTTGGAACTGAGTCACCTACCTGTCGTGCTCAAAGCCACCGGGCAACTGTGCTCCGCGCGCGGTTTCGGTCGCCCGGGTCCGATCCGCGCCCAGAAAGTGGCCGTGAGAACGCTTGGGGACAAATGCCGCGCCCCAGGACTCTACCTACGGCTGAGTGGACACCTGTCGCCGTGAGTGGCCCGCTGCCTCGCTATCGAATCGGACCCGAACCATTAACCCCCACCGGAGCCAAGCAGCAGGGCCGCGCACCTGCCGTTCCGGGCGCATGTTCCCGCAGCTCCAGAGCCAAAGCCCAGTCGTAGGGTAGTGCCTGCGACCGCCAGACCCTCGATCTCGGCGCCCCCCAAATCTCCGCGATGCTCTGGGCCCCGCGATTGGGCCGAGAAAGTGCCTGGGGTCAGGGGTTGCGCGCCCTGATCATCCGAGGGACGCGCGCGGTGCGAGTTCCTGCCTTGATCCCGTGAGGCTGCGTAACAGATTAATGGGAAAAGGAGGGGGAGGCTACCTGGAGATCACCTGGCGGCGTTCCTCCTCCCGGGGGCGGGCCTACCTGCGGTGGGCGGGCAGTTGGCAGGCGTCTTCAGGGAGCTCGCGCTTTGCTCACCCAGGCGCGGAGCTTTCAGTCTTGGGCCGGGTGCGAGCCCCGCCGCCTTCCTCCACCTCTGGCCCCGCCTTGGCGCGCGGGTGGCTGGTTTGGATTCGATTCTAGACCCGGCGTTTTCTGCGAATTCTGGGGAGCATTTTCAGTGCTCAGTGGAGCGCCCGCGGCGCGTCGGGGGCTTTTCGCTTTGGGTCTCACTAGGCTAGGGGACTTGTTGGTTACCTTGGGTCAACGGCTCTCAAAGGGAGATCCGGGAACGAGAATAAAATATGCATCAGAGAAAATACATTTTATTAGTAACATGAAATGGGAAGTGACATTAAAATTAATCGATTACGTTGGTTTTTATATTGTGGTCTGTCAAATCTGGGACGTCTCCAAAATCTTTTCAAGGGATCTCCGAGGTCAAAACTATTTTAATGATGATATTAAGACATTATTTGCCTTTTCCATTTTCATTCTTTCATGAGTGTGCAGTGGAAATTTCCAGAGGCCATTTAGCATGTAATGATGTCATCACTCTGACAATAGAATGCTTACTACATGTGTATTCTTGTGTTTTCTAGATTTAAGTATCAATATATTTTATAGAGACGGATAAAATGTTTCTTCTCAGTATTTCTGAACTCTTATTAGCTATTCTGACCATACCTGTCAGGATACCTATAACCTCATTATTCTCAAATAAATAATTATCTTGAAATCTTAAAGTTATCTTTGAGTCTATACAGAAACTTAACAAAAAGTAAGTACACATTGTTGTCTTTATTTGAAACAATGCTTTGAAAATTTCTCAGTTTTAATATATAATAGAAATATCATTAGATATCATTCACATAAGTGAAAGCTCTTTGGGGCCCTTGATAATGTTTGAGTGTAAAAAAGATCCCAAGATAGAAAAGTTTGAGAACTGCTGCCATGAGTAATGAAGGCAGCAGGTGGACAGAGGACCTCATCCTTTCTTGTCCAAATAACATGCTTAACAATTCTTTGGGACATCACTTAAGGTTCCATGCTTTGGCCAAATTGGTGTGACACTTGCTGGAAGCCGGAGTAAACACTTTCCCCCCTTCTTATCTTTAATTCGATTTCCACTAAATTCTTTTTTCTCCCCTCTAAGGCTGCTATTGTCTATTTTATTCTAATTATTTAGAATCAACTAAATTTTTCCTAAGTGTTCTGCAGAAGATTTTGTTTTCACTGATTTCTTCTGGGCAGTCCTATTTCTTTTTCCTTTCTCCGGTCTTTTCCTCCTTGATTTTCATTTGTCCAACTTGTTCTCTAACCAGTTTCTATGATAGATGCTTCTCTCCCTCTTCAATCCATTTTTTGTTCTTAAGCAATTTGGATCAGACCGTGAAGAGGCTAGATGTGATTTCTTGTGGTTGACATCCTATAACAGGAAACATCTTTATTAGAGTACCCGTTCTTCTATTTATTCATTCATTTATCCAAATTACATCTCTAAGACCTAAGGATAGAGAAATAATCACCATAAGCTCTGTTTTGGAGAAGAACGTAATCTAAAATCTATATCTATGAATGTGGGTCTATAAAGTTCTTATCAAGTTCAAGAACTGATGTATTCATCTTTACATCCTCCACAGTACCCAGCAGAGTGCCTTTTATGTTGTTTGTGCTCAATATATTTTTTTTTGAGTGGAAGCAATTTATTTTCAGGTAGGAAAAGTACATCACATTATATTGGGAGTGGCAAATGGCAGGATGTCTCATGTGGAATCAGCAGATATGAACTTTAATGACATTCCTTGGTAGACTGCATCCACCTACGTATCTGGATATTTGGACCACAACAAATGAGGCTTTGTGCTCACATCAAATATCAGAGTTTATAGTCTGAGAGGGGAGGCAGATACAGAAATGAGTCTGTTTCTCAGTGGTGAAGTACATCCCTGCATGTTTCTCTGTGATATTGGATCTGAAAGAATATTATAGCATTTGGCAGTATGCACACAAACTTCAACCACCGTGGAACTGCAAGATATTTGGGGATTAGATAGCAAAGAGAAAAGAGTGTAGCCAGAAACAACATTGTCCAAGATTGCTGATTTCTTCTACAATATTTGCTTGTTGTGTTCATTTTCTTATTTTTGTACCATTTGTTTTTACAATCACAATATCCTTATGCCTTTCTTCCAAAGCATTTTAAGTGCTCTTATTCTGGTGATCTGTTGAGTTAGGCCAGATATTACGATTCTCATTTTACAAAGAGGGATACTGAGGTATGAAGTAAAAGGTCTTGAATGGTCATTGGTCAAACAGTAGCCCGGCTCTTGACTCTTTCCAGTGCTTTTTTTTTTTTTTTAGTTATTACTAAGCAATGGAGGGCAGTATGTAAAGAATTATTTAATTTCAAAAGTAATAAGAAAAAAATCAGAGCAATGAGATTAATGGATTTGGATTAATGTGATAATGCGTCTTTGAGTTTGAGCACACACCCACCCACTTACCTGTGTGAATTCAAGAATGAAATGAAAACTCACTTTACTGTGTGGGCATGAGGATTGACTCAAGGACTGTGACAGGAAATGTTACAGTTGCAGCCATGAAGCTCTACAGTGTAAGATCACTTTCACATCCTTAAAGACACACTGATGACTGTATCATTGGACTACTCAGAACAGGAGATGCAACTTCACTGAACTTGATATTTCTGTGACATTTTAGTCTTGACATTTCAGCATCAATTGCTTGCAATTTTGATTCATTCCAGTAAAATCAGCAGGTGGAAAATGGAAGACTCCCACTGTTCAAGGTTGATTATATATTCTTATGCAGGGTTTTCAGATTCAACGAATAGGTAAAGGGGTTAAAGATTCTTTGTTAAAAGTAAACATTTGCTTAAAGCCCTCTAAAAGAACTTTTGACTAGAGCTCATATTTAATTCTATCATTTAAATTAATATAAAACAATTAAATAAAATCAAGAACAGTGTGAGAGGTCATCTGGTTTCATGTCGCTCTAGTTAGTAATAAGAACTATGCTTAAAAAAATAGTAATCCTTAAAGTCCTTACAGAGCACATGGAAATTTGAGTCCGTGCTGTTCTGAGCTGCCTGCAGGGGCCTGTGACAGGGACTTATGTTACCATTGGTCATGAAACTCTCACTCTTTGTTCAGACCTTGGCAGTTTTACAACTGTAATTAATTCTTTGACTCAGGCTCCTTTTTACATCACAATCTTACTGTCTGAGTGCCACCCATTTTTTTATTTTTGTAGTTGTTTCCAACTTTTTTTAAAATTAGTTTCAGGTGTACAAAACAATGTAATAGTTAGACATTTATACCCCTCACAAAGTGATAACTCCCCTTCCCCAATCTACTACACCTCTGACATCATATATATATATATATATATATATNACATCATATATATATATATATATATATATATATATATATATATATATATATATATATATAAAATAGCTGTTACAATTCCATTGACTCTATTCCCTATGTTGTACTCCACATCCTGTGACTATATATATTAAACTATAGTTGGCATTCAGTGTTATTACTATTATTATTATTATTATTATTTTGTCTCTATTTTGGAAACCCATGTTCAGGTAATCACGATGTTCTAAGAAAACACAGATTTTTTTTTTTCCATACACAAGTTTACTTGGCATCAGTTGCAAAACCATACTTCCCAGCCACAATTGTGAAAGGGGCATTTAAACAAATCATGCATTTCTAGCTATTAATATACAGTCGACACTGTTTAAGAAGCATTCATTAATTCTGCATGAAAGAAGGATAATAACACAGTGTTGATATTACTGGGATGATTAAAGACACACACATTACATAGAAGAACTGTTAGAAAGTCAACAAACCGGGCTCGAATTTATCCTTCTTTGGTGAAGAATTCTCCTTTTTTCTTTTATGTCTGGCTTCAAGCTCTCAAATAAGAGTTCTCAAAAACTTAGTTTTGAAATATAAAATGCAGGTCTTAAAGCATTATTTCATTCACTGATGTACACTAATGGCTTAGTAATATTTATAGCTCTTCTTTACCCACCTTCAACACTGCCACCCTGACAGCTCCTGAGAGCCAGGAACAAAATTTACCAGTCTTTGTATCTGGCACATAGCAGGATTTCCTGACTGCTAAGTAAATGAAAAAATGAATAATTCTAGACCTGAGTTTGCCTCTCTCTAGATAGGTGACTTTGAACAAATCATTTCTCTGAACTCTACGTATCTTTTCTGAGACATTGAGTGTTTGGTCTGAATGAACTCATATTCCTTCCTACGCTAAAATTCTAGAATTTTGACCATCCTTAATAATAGAAGTGTAAAGAGGGCTCTATTTTAGTAAGTATCTAATTACTCTTCCCTATTTGGATAGTCTTGGATTACTTGCTTTTATATAATTTATGTTATTTAAAAAGGAAATCTTACCATATGACCCAGCAATCACACTTCTGGGTTGTTAACCTGAAAATAAAAGCCCTTTCAAAGTGAAAGACAAGTATTTATTTGAGATAAAAAAGAATAGCCATTTGGGAAGCACTGATTCAGGCAAAAGTCCAAATAGTGTTCCTATTAGGAGACAAGGCAAGGGGTATTTATGAGAAAGGGAAAGGGAACAATTGCAGGTTGTAAAGAATTATTTAATTTCAAAAGAAATAAGAAAAAAATCAGAGCAATGAGATTAATGGATTTGGATTAATGTGATAATGCATTTTTGAGTTTGAGCACATACCCACCCACTTACCTGTGTGAATTCAAGAATGAAATGGAATAGAAAGAAGGCATTTCTATTGGTCAGATAAACTAACGTAGTGATGTTCATTCTAAACAATGTTTTTAATTTTCAGTCTGGTAGCCATCAG